TATAGTACGTTCGTTTGAGAATCCATAAGTTCATTAATTTGAAATAAATTAAACTAGTATCTTATCGAAACTTGCTGAGCTGGTATTGCGGATAACCTTTGAAATAACCTTGAAGCATAATCTGAGGCAGGTTGTTATTTGTATAATTAACTCGGCGTTTACAGAAATAACATAAATTACAGAGATATATTTAATTTAGAACCTCAGATAACTAGACCGAGTGAACAATTTACAAAATCTTTGTTTTCCATAATAATTTTCAATTTTTATATGGGAGAGATTATTCTCTATGTAAATACATTATATATACAAAGCTTTAAGCAAATAGTTCAAGCACGAGAGATATACTACGAGAGTGGTCCCAAAGTACCCGGCCTGACCTAGAGATGGCGTTAGTTGTTTGAAAAATATCACCCACTGTATCAGGAAGTACACAATCTATAAATTCTATATGTTTCAAGTTTGAAGACGCTGGTTTAGTATTTGTTTGTCCGCCATCAATAGCAAACGTTTCGGAGAAAATTGGTTATCGTCGGCATTTAATGGCTATTTTGAGGAGCAAGACAGTTCTTATTATAAACACGGTATTTAATTTATCGAACGTCGCTGGGAAAAGTGTACAGAGCTGCACGGAGATTACGTTGAATAAAAAATACATCTTTTCCCAAATTGTTTGTGTTTTCTTTGTTAGGCAGGATACTTCTAGGACCATCCTCGTATAGCAGGTATATTTTTATTGTTCAAAGACTCAAAAAAAGAAAAAACTTCCCAAATAACTATACATTATTAGTGACGTCAAAGATAATGAAGAAAGCTGTAAGTTAACATATTCTTTACTTTTTGCAATGCTTCAATTCCTTGATCGATAATAGCTGCAGGTTGTTTTGCTTCATATTCCGAAGCATTTTAACTTGTACTACGGTACGGGAGTTTATGATAAACTTTCTCAAAGATATTCCTATCAATGGTTAGTCTCTCTTGTGAGAGACTGGTGTTCCCCAGGGAATTATATGGCCTCCAACTCTATTTTTGTATACATCAGTAACTCATCGGAAGAGAATAGGCTTGTTTTTCTAACTACATCACATTTTTTTTGCTCATCTTCGCCTACAAGGAATTTTATGTCTTAATTAAGGATCTGAGGGAAATTTTAGCTTGTTACCATATAGAATTTATTGCTGAAAACAGTAAACCATTTTTTTTTCTGAAAAAATAACTCAGAATTCCACAGAATAATACTGGCTACTACGATTAATTTGTCGGGTGTGAAATTGCGAACATTACTTTTCCAGCAATATGTCGGAATAGCGGAGTTAACTTCTGAGAAACAAAGAACATTATTTCGAAATTGAAAGTTGTACAAAAACCTCAACAACTATTATTGCTGTTTGAAGCTTAAATTGCGATTTCTGTGAAATACTCACTTATATGTAGATAATAAGCATACCCTGACTCTACTAAATCCTATCCGGAACAGAGCTATCCGAACAGAGACCCCAACATTACAAGCAACTTTGATAGTAAGGAACATCGAAAGACTAAAAGTGTTCTGCTGTCTTCGATCACTTGATTCCCCCCGTAGATCGGTATATATCACAAGCCATTTTAAGAACTTTTTCATTCGGGGATCAGGATCTTCATGAAATGAATTTCCAAAGATGTCCAAAGTCGAACATAATTTACGTAGAAGTTATTTCATACCGTAATTCCTACTTAAGATAACATGTAACACTGTATAGTTTCATATGTTTTCGGGTACCTTAAATCAAGCAGGTTGATTCATATTCTTTCGAAATGATTGGCCCTTCTCTATTAGTACCAAATACTGATTATTTTTTTTCTGAAATCACTCTGGAAGAGCAATTAATAACGATATATCGTTATAAAAATTGAACTTCGCCTTTTGTTTCCAACTTATATTTTGTCCATACTGTTCATTAACTGTTGAACCTTATTAGTTGTAAACAATAAAGACATTTATTATTATTCTTATCGTTATTATTTTAAAAATCATCTCCTAATGACGCTGACTTGGTTGTCGAGACTCGCGTTTCCGTTTCAACCATATAGAGAGGGCCAATAGACGAATAAAGAAAGTAAGGAAAAGAATTGCAATGTTAATTAATATACACAGAAAGGTATCCAGCTATTTTGTAACTCGCTGCGTTAGTATCAAAGATACTCGTACTAAAGACCTAAAACTGAATAGAAACAAAAATTTTGTAGACATCCCTGTTCTCTTTAGATTCACAACAAAGAACCTTATTTTACAACTGGATTTTCTCATCGAAACGTGGAATATAAACTATTCAGAAATCGAATGGACAGAAGAAACATTAAATTGCCAATCAAAAGAATCAATTAACCTCGAAATGTTTTCCGTTTTTCTCGTTTCACACGATGCAGATGTTTTTTACTGAATCACGAGTAATCACGATGTCGAAATTGCTTTGTAATGGGAAAAAGAGTTGTTTCAAAGATCATCACGTTTAGTTGAACGTTGTGTCTGTAGTTCTCTACATGAAACCTCGAGAGCATTTAATCATTCCATTGATAAATTAGTTATCTACGCTGCCTAATAAAACAGATTCATTCAGTATGATAAAAAGTGATTTATTCCTAATATAGGAATGTAGGTTTTGACGGCTGTCGTCAATGTTTTGCTTGCCTCCCAGGTTTTGCCATGGTTTTCTTTGGTTATCTTCAAATGTATCACATTTTAATTCATTTACTGTCTGAAAATGATTCAGAGATACGCGTTTCATTCATCACCAGGCAGCACATCATTTCTTATTATTTTTCCAAGTCTGACTCCTTGTGATTTCGTTCATAATATCCAAATGGAATGAAAAATTTTCTAGCTCTTCATTTGACAGTGTAGGACCCTTGATTCATGGCTGTGTGCTTTTACACGATTGTCTTACCACGTTCAGTCACTAAAATCGGACGTGTCCAGACTCATGATATATTTACACCTTATCCAACTATTTTGGTATCTCGTCAAGTGATAACGAACTAATTAAACGCTAAATAATTTAATCTTCCGATTGTTGGCCGCTGCCGACATGATTACCATCTCGCCAACTCGTCGATATAATAATAAACCCAGTGACTAATAACGAAAAGTCGGGAATTTAAATCACTTTGGGTTGCTTACGAGTATAGTTGGCAATAGTGCAATCGATCGCCCGCGCGAAATATTTCAACAGCAAGCATGGTTTTCTGAGAACCTAATTGTTACTTACTCATGCAAAATGTGAACAAATACTCCACTTGAGCGATTACCCATAATGTTCTAACACTTGAACCACCATAATACAACTTTAATATGAATCCAAACAAAAAAATAAGAATGACTGTGACCTTTCACGGTGGTAGATAACTGCGTGAAAGCTATTTCTCGGGTTTTTAGCAGTGACGTTTCGTCTACTACTGCGGTCGACATTATTAAACCAGCGAAGTGTCAAGCCACGCCCACCTATGATAATATAAAAACGGAGATAAATTCTAGTATTGACTTTGATAATGTCTACTGAGAATTCAAAAGCTAGTATACATTGAAGACATTTTTCCTGGGATGCCTGCTCAAGTATTTGCTTTAGGAAGTAGGATAAATAAAGTTGATGAATCTCCATAAAAAAGAAATCATGAAAACTTATTTGGGAAGGCTTACACGTTAGTTACACTACAAAATCAGAAACTCTTCAAAACATTCCTTCATAAACCTACAATTAAATAAAAAGGTTATATCCCACACACTATCAAGTGAGAATTTGACATCCAATTCGTATTAAATGTCAATTCAACAAACTTATAACCGTCAAGGTGACTACTAAACGTGACAACAAAAACTTTCTAGTTCGAATGAACGAATCTAAGCTCATGGACTAACTCTACTGCGAATCCTGCAGTATTGATAAATATCCAAAAATTAAAGAAACCCAAATAATGAGACTTATATCAGGAAGCTGGTATTCTCATATCTCTAGAAAGTTCGTGTAAAATAGTTGAATGTGGGTTCCAAAAAAGAGTTTCTTCTCCAGTTGATTATAATTGAATTTACCCAAAAAATCGATTCCTCACCCAACAAATAAATATACCGTTACGACTTGCCAATGTAATTCGCAATATAATATTGTATAATAGATAATTAAACATTAATTTCAGTTCGTAATTACCTCTTAGCATCGTTAGCTCAGCATGAAATATACTTTGATTCAAGTTAGAACATTTCCTTGAAACCGCGGGACTATAAAAGGCAATGAGTGGAATTGATTTACCTTCCTGGTGGATTAAAAAATGACGAATGAACTTTAATCTAATGAATAGCGATGCATGTTATGACCGAACGTTTATAGCTGATCATCAAGTGATAATGTTCACATGATAAATGTACATACATTATTTATTCGAAAGTATAACTTGTGCTCTCCTCAGTATAATGTGAACATTAAATGAAAATCTTTTGCAGAAAGCGATTTCTTTAGAGCTTTCCACAAAGTCAATCATGAGCTATTGATTCATAAACTTTATTTATACGGCGTTCATGGGCTAACATTACAGTGGCTCAGGAAATATACGGAAAAAAAGCAAACTGTCACCGTTAGTCATTACTATTCTCATACTACATCGGGTGTTCCACAAGGATCATATTTAGGGTCATTTTTGTTTTCATCAATAATTAACGTATTTAAAATGACATGTTTTCCTGAACGTAATATTGTATTTTAATGTTTTTTTTTTCATAGTATATTTTTTTCATCGGAATTGATCATTTATCTTACTTGAGACTGTAGAATTGTTTAAAGTAACAGTCCAACTGGTAATTCTAATCATTGAGCTTTTTCTAACCATAAAATCCACAGTGTTGACGTTGAATACACTTCAATGTTTGGTTCTTTGGGTTTTCCTATTGTTCGGTATTCCCCAGTTCTATTAATCAACGCTGCTACGCAACATTAACCGTCATCCCTTTATTTAGTATCGTTGTTTTGTTCCAGGTCAACCCGTCCTCAGCAGATCACGTCACGCAACAAATCCAAAGTAAACTAGGGGACTTTCAACGCGTAAGGCATTTAATAGACCACAAGGACACTGTTCTCATTGGAGTCGATGGAGTTCCACCGAGTCCTGGGGGGCCACCGCCTTCGCTATCGTCGAGACTCCACTCGATGCCCCTCGGACAGGTGGCTGGTGTGCCAAGCAGGTTAGTAGAAATCTTTCAGTAGGTTCCATTGTGAAATTTCTCATTTGGAGATAATTGTAATTGTTAAGCGATCATAAAAAAGGGCTGCTCGAAAGGAGTGGGGTCGTAAAGGGCCGACCACACGACAGCGACTCAGACTGGTAAAAAAAATTCCCGTCAGTATCGGCGGAAATATTATTACTGCCCATATTAGTGAGAAATTACTTCTTATTACACTCTAACATATTTTACAGTGGAATTTCACACTCCACCATGATTTTACAGTTGAATTTCACACTCCACCATGATTTTACACTGGAATTTCACACACCAGGAACGTATTCAAAGTAATTTTTAATTAAATAATACGTCAATAGGATGTTGAATATTGGATAAATGGAGTACCTCATATTTTTCAGAGGCCTTTTTTTTGTAAATTTGATCATCATCTGGAAACGACTCTTAAAATGAAACTGTATAAAACTAGCTAACTTCAGGGACTCTCCAATCGCGACAGAGAACGGTTGTGCCGATAACGACCGCCCTCAAAGATGGCAGGTGGATGTCAAGTTCGAATAAATATTGAAATGAAACACATTTTGAGAGGACTGGGCCCCCTACGCCAGTAACCAGGATGGATGTCGGCGGATTTGACGAGGTCGTCAGTGCGATAATAGATGTGTTATTTGTGAAAGTCATATTGGGAGGACTGGGCGGCCTCCTAGTGAAAAAAAAAAAGTTAATAAGAAAACTTAGGGTGGAGCATTGCCTCAAACAAGATAGCTGCGCCCCCAGACGAAGCTTCTGTTCACTATAGACAGGAGGAGTCTGGGCAAATGCGCTCCACTGAGAAGCAACAGCCATATAAATTGAAGAAGAAGAATAAGCTAACTTCAGGGTGTCGGTTTTACGTGACAATGTGCGCGCACATCGTAAAAACTTACTGTCATAATTTTTCCCCAACGCGCCAAAAAAAAGTATAACTTCAGCAAACTGAAAGATATCAACGTTAAGCCAGCAAAAAAAATGTGAAATCATTTAACCCGTTTATCCATCTAAGTACATTTGATGATGAAATTGATGAGATCTCTATCAAACATAATGAATCAATATTATATGATGAGGACGAGTCAATTACACTAACATTTGTACGGCCGGCAATATGGACTTGTTTACTCGAACAGGTAGTTACCGTAAATATTTAGCTAATTAGTAGGCAGTAGTCACGTTGATATACCTCAATCAATTCGACTGTAACTCGAGGCTCTTTTACTCAAACAAGAATGGCTTTACGTGATTCTCGATCAATCATTCCTGAATCAACGGTAATCGCAGTAGATTGAATGAATTATTATTAGTGGATGGTAATGATACGGTGTGTTTCCCCAGAGTGGTGCGTTATTTTTTAGTCTGGAAATAAAGTTGAGTATCTAATAATATGTTTCACAAAATATGCTGACCCGTGATGTTGAATAATAGTATGAAACTATTATATTTTTATTATACGTGTATTGTGGCACACGATTTATGAAAACGTTTGAAAATCTACAAAGTTCTAACAACGAAAAATGATTCAGTTATAAAAAAATCACTAAGTATATCAACATTTTATTATTTTTCAGAAGAAACTTTACTAAAGTTATCCGTGTTCGTAACTTATTTTATCAAACTTTTTAAGGCAACAGTAGCAGCTGATTTTTCGAACTTATCGCGGGTTTTAAATTACACTCGTCTATGAAGAGTTTTGAGTGTATTCAAGATTGAATGCGATACAATATTGGGCTAATATCTCTATTCGTTTCAAAGTAACTTGGTAATTACCTTGTGTTCGAATTAGGATTTAAGTGTTTACTTGATGTTCGGAACTATCGATCATTCTCCAATGTTGTCATTGAAATGTATGAATTATTCACTACTTGATTCTTTCACAGTTGTTTAAGGTCACATTTCAAGGTTTCAGTAACAATATCGTCTCGTCAAATTAATGTGAAATGTCTATTGAATCGAGAAGTAATACTAATAATAATTCATCCGTCTTAATATTAATGAATGAATATCCTCTTAGAAACTCTCCCAAATTATAATATTACTTAGCTGCCTTCGAGAACGACATAACGATTAAAGCTGTCATACAATTTTTCGATGTCATTTTCATAGTACCTACTATTTGTCTTCAGCCTCAGAATAGGCCTCAGTTTCAACGATAACCTCTTCATCTTTCCAGCGAGCATTCTCTTGAGGTCTGTGAACAGAAAAAAAGTCGCTGGGGTTTATATCTAGAGAATACGGTGGATGTGAAAGCAATTCAAAGCCCAATTCATGCAATTTTGCCTTAAATGAATCAACGGTCGATTTTCCTTGTGTAAAGTGCAAATAATGTGTATCAAGACAAGCCGTGGCTTAAACAGTATTTTTATTCGCCAAAAAGCAATGCTTCATTAAAACATCATTTTTCTTCAAACTAGCAAAAGTTTCTTCACTCAAAATGTTCTATCCCACAAACTAATAGTCCGATAGCTGTGAAATTTGAACACGTATCTTTTGAAGATTAGGATTAATTGAAAATCGTATGGATTCAATACTAGTAGCGTCACGTGTGTGTTAGCCTACGAATTTTTCAGCCCATCTGGTAGCCTTTATTCGTCTTTTGAAGAGTATGATATGCAAGTCTCTGATGTCAAATTCACTGGCTTCAGATTTCTCAACTGATCCAGATTATCTAAAACGATGTTGATGATCTATTAGGATCTTACATTTTTCTCTTAACAAGGATGTGATACATTTGTTTCCATAAGTTTAGATGGAATACTGATAATATTTGTCAATATTATTACACTAATCGAGTAAAATCGCAAAGAAAAGAATTTTCTGGTCATGAACTAATATAAAGAAGGTATTTGAGAAATATTTACCAAAACAGAAGATTCTTTTTTGATAGAATAATGGATTGGTAGCAAGATTTGTTCATTGTAGTTAGAAATGGTAAAGCCAATACTGAATCAGACTTTTCATAAAGTTTTGGTATTTGGTTACCAAACCCAATGGTTACTGTAGCGGAGCCCACGAATTCGTACAGCCACATGTGGAAACAGGAGCATCCAAATGATTTGAAAGTCATGATAGGGGCTGAAAAAAAATCGTTTATCAAGCACTAGTTGTCAATGAGATTAATGCAAAGATACAGAGTCTATACTCTGTTTCCTAATAGTAAAGAGTAATGAATATTTATTATAAATGCAAATCTCTAGCGGAGTGCTCCAGCAATTTTGTGATTTCCTTATGATTTGCCATAGCTGGGACAGGCGGGTTTATGATACTTTATCGGATACCCCTTTGTTTTTTATCGGAAAGAAGTTGAATTACTCTCTCATATGTCATATTTTCAATCCGCATCAATCCATTTCACCACAATCCGCTTCTTCAACACATTTTGTGTTCACCATTTAGAAAAATCTATATTTTGATAAGGTCCAATCAAGCGCGACAAACTCAATTCAGCCTGTCTACATCGCAGCTCTTCCCCCCTCTCGGGAGACGGTGCATTCGCCGATCGCTGTTTTTGTTTTTCTCGACGCCTGCGTCTATAATTAGAAACACCGTTGATCGAAATAGCGAGAAGAAAAAATCAGCGACAGACTGCTTATCCGACGCCAAACGAAACAAATTGATTGTATCTAGGTTACTGCTACTCCAATTAGGCGTTTATATATTTATTATTTGTACTTCTACTACCTGTTTCGAATAGAACGTTTATCGTCACGTAACCTTACAATTGTCGTTAATGATGACATTTCACGGAGAAATGTTGATTTAAGATAGCGGTCGTTCATAATTATTTAATTATTTCGTTGTCGACGGGATTTATAGAACATTGACTGATCACAAAGGAAGGAACAAATTTTTATTCAAACAATAAAAAAAAAATTAAAGAATCGCTAATCAAATGTGCGTTGCCCGCAAAATTTGAACATTCACCTTATTTTTTGAACAAACCTCGTTTCGAGTATTTCGAGTATCTTAATGTGAGTAGTAGATATTCTTATAAAAATTTCTAGAGTAGATCTGTTCTATTTATACGTGTACGTGTGTTGTGTGAATATTTCAAATATTTCAGACTTGCGTAAACTATTTTTGAATGTGTTCCATATGTTTATACAGTTTATTCGCATAACACAGTAGTAGGTGACGATTATGTTATTGTCCAAGAATTTTTGTGAGTCTGTTTGAAGTCGAATAAATTAATGTGCATTCTTTGTTAAGTTTCGTAATAAAAATTTTTTTCAAGTCAAGCCAAACGAAATTAGAGGATTTCGAACTACATATTTTCAACAACGAATCATTTGCACTAATCAAAAATTGATTTCTCTAGTTTATTGGCAAATTCTTGGGTATTTCTGGACCATATTTGGCTACCTGTGTTGAAAAAAAATATGAAAAGTAATCGTTTGTTTGAAGGTGGTTAACAATGTTTCGTGGTGTATTTCATCAGTTTGGACTCCCATTGTCTAATATAATATAAATTGATTTGATAACTCTGAAAAAAATAAAAAATTAACCGAAAATAACAATTTTATTAAAACAAAAAACTGAAATAACAACAACCAAACGAATAAAAAATGAAATATTAGTAAAAGCTGAAAAAATTAAAAATATTATTACCAAAAAATGAAAAAATTAAAATTAAAAATTATAAAATTTCAAACAAAGTTATGTCACAACGTTTCGATTGTTAGTATCCACAATAGTCTTCTGGTGATGACTGGACTCATTCCTCCGAGATCTGACTATTTATAGGTCATTCGAGTGCTTTTATTTGTTTTATTTGTTTGTCTGTTGTTGTATTTTATTTCATTGTTATTTCAGTTTTTTGTTTAATAAAATTGTTATTTTCGGTTAATCTTTTTGATTTTTTTCAGGGTTATCAGATCAATTTATATTATATCAGACAATGGAAGTCCGAACTGATGAAATACATGAAAAGTAATTCAATACAAATGAACTACTAACAGAAAACTTCACTACATTAGTTTGTACAAATATCAATCAAAAGATTTGACATAACCTCAGTTTTTTTTTCAATCATTCCGGTTTGCAATGATGACAAAGTCTCATTTCAACATTTTCGTTAGTGAAACATTGATGAAATTAAGAAATTAAGAGTTTTTCTATCCGATTCATTAAAAAATAAAAAAATAAAAAATATTAAATTGTTTTTCAAAGTTACTGATGAATATGGCACTTTTTTAAAAAATATTTTGATTGTTTCGTGGTAATCTTTTGGGCCTGTTTCTTTCTGAATGTAACAAACAAACACTCTTGCTTCATCAAATTTGATTTTGAATAAAAATGTTTCGAGAGAATTTTGCCAAAGTACAAGTTATTCAATTCAAATGAAGTATTACGTATACTTGTTTTTTTTAAATCAAGTATTTATTATTATCTCGATTACTATTTGTGATTCCCTGTTCATATGGTCGAGATATCAATGAGAAAGTTTGAAGCTCAAACAGAAGTCCATTAATTCCGTCATATGACTGAAAAAGTTGTAGCACAGACAAATACTACAGAATATATATCGAGTGGTAACGATAACATTGATTTTCAGAAAGTTGTCTTCAAAATAAAATAATTCTCAATCATCCATTGCGAAGTCGATCAATTCTAAAACAGTCCTTTTTCAGACTCCAACCTCCACCGGACACGCGACCGGAATTCAAGAAGCCCCACCACCACCCTCACCACCTTCCACACCAAAGGGGCGGTTACGTGAAACCCGCCGAAGGAAAACCTCCCTATGGCGGTAGAGGCGGCTACCCCGGTCAACCGGTGAAGCATGGGAGCGGTACCACGACAAGTCATCGCTCGAACGGAATTCTGCCGGCGAAAGGTCCTCCTCCTCCCCAAATACCTCCCATGGGGATGATGACGACACCTTCAATATCGTCGTCGTCGTCGTCGACGTCGAGGTTGCACGGGGCGGAGAGGCATGTGAGGAATCCCTACGAGCAGGTGAGTGTCATAATGGAGGGCATAAGTGAAAACACATCGTTTTCACTATTTTTTTTATCAGTAGTTTTTTCTACATCGAGTATTGTCCCAAATTCGACAGTTTTGTTTGTTCATGTATCCAATCATCCAGAAATGGGCCTCATCGCTGAAGATGATTTTCAATGAAAGTTAGGGTCAGTTGCCAATTGCTCCAGGGCCCATTTAGCGAACACACGTCTTTGTCTGGTCGTTTTCCTTCAGTTTCTGGGTCAGTTAAATATTGTAATGGTGCAGGGCTAAGTCACGATACAAAATCCGACAAGTTGTGGTCTGTGTGAGAACAAATTCTTGTGAGCGATGCGAAATCGACTGCTTAGGATTCTCCTGCACACTCTCACAGACAGCGGCAATGGTTTTGGCAGATTTTTGTCCACGTACGGGTGTTGGTCGATCGTTCACTGAATCAGTGGACTCAAATTTATCCGCCACATTGCTAATAGTCCTCTAGGTGGGACGATTATGGTGATCTGGAAAAGAGACTGAATAAAAGACGATTGAGTTGACAGATGTAGCTTCAACACGATGGCCGTTATCAAAGTTGTCAAAGTTCGGAAGTATATGTTAGAGATGTGTCATGTCATGTCATGTCAGTGGAAAAACCCAATTTATTCATCATTATATATTCCGCTTGTATTTATCATCGTCCTATATACCATGTGCTAATTTGCACTGATGACAAATATTAAAGCAAGTTCGCCGATTATGTTCAATGTGTAATCAACAAATTTGTAATATCCGCATTAGCGACTGTCGCTCAGGAGGAAATGGAGAAGTTTTTTCTGTTGAGTTGTGCAACAGTAGAATCGATAAATAATATAGCACTGCAATTACTTTTCGAAATTACATCCGACTCCGTTGAATTGTTGGGTTTGTCTTTTGCGAGCAGTTATGTTATTTTTCAACAGTAATTTGGTTCAAGATTGGTGATTATCGGCTGAAGAAAGGTCAATTTCCTATTTTATTTCTGGTCACGGTCGAATGTTTCATTTTAGATAAAATTACTTCCACGTTATATTAGCGACAAGTATATACACGCAATGTTCTGTTCACATTTACATTATGAATACAGAGTGTTTCATAGAATTGCCTTACTAATTGTCTTGTCAACTCCTAAATTCACCTATTTTTGTACTCAAATTAGTATATTGAATAACCTGACATTACAATTTCCCTGGTATCTAATGTAAGCACTCTCTAGGATGAATTTTTGTATCTCTAATGGACTGTTATTATTGATGATTTCAACAAAGTACATATATCCAGTTTAAATTGTCTAAATCATAGTCCATAACTTATTTTTTAACACCTTCAATTGGTAATTCACAAACACTAAGCCCCATCTTTGAGAAAATAAATTATCTGCTCTGATCACAACCTTGGCGTCAAAGTGTAAAGGTATTTTTTCTGCTGATCACCGCTACTTTGATCTCCTTTGCAGTGTTGATAAATATTTTTTGGACCACTACCAAAAACAAAAAATTGTGGATTGTGTTTCCTGTTTACCTAGAAGAGCATATAATCCAAGTATCTCCTCATTAGCCCCCACACATTTTGTGCCGTTATCAGAGTAAATATTTCTAACTAATCTCCTCGAAATAAATATCCTGAAACAGTTCATGACAGATCTCGCGCTTAAATCCATAGCTAACTTCAAGTGAACAGCCTTGGTAGAAAAACAAACATAAATATTTTTTGGTATACGTATACCTTCTAAGTTTAAGAATCTTTATATCAAATGGGCCTTCATGATCTTTGCCAGAATTCATGAACGGCTAGCGAAGTGTTATTCCTGACTTTGGTAAATTGCCCATAATATAATCAATGTTCGTAATTGGTAATCAAGTTGATCAAACTATGATGTTTTTGGTGGAGCTCTTGTCTGGTGCTCCCACCCTGATGCTCGTAGGAACTTACTCATGTAAAATTGTTCTACAGCGCCATCTAGTGGCGAGTTACAGAAAAATTGATAGCCTAAAAACATTGTCTATGAAAAATTACTTACACATGTCAAGTTTCATCACGATCGGTTGAGCGATGTAGAAGTTTATCACTCACCAAGCAACCAATGAACATCCATTTATATATTTATGATGATACATTAGATTCAGACAAGCAGATTCATTCTGCCTCTGGTTTGGGTCGGGGGGAGTTTGGTGCAAAAATTTTTATAAGATATCCTGTTCGAGGAGACAGTTAGTCGCTTCCTGGCTGCAACGCCTAGTCTCAAGGTTCGTCAACAAAATTGAAAGTTGGTAAACTGAGAAGCTCTTGCTTTTGTTCCATTTGCCTGAGGTAGGAATGTCCATCTACTCTGTAGACTTGGGTTCGGATTCTTCGGTTCATCATGATCTATAAAGGGGCTACCCTTTATGAGTAGGCTCATATATCCTTTTGGCACTGATACATCTTGGTCATATTGTATCAATCATCTAACAAGAGGAGGGCATTGATCCATCTAGTAGCAAAGAGAAGAATAATGTGATATGGTAGCAAATATGACCTTTATGAGAAAACGGTAATGAACGTTACAAAGGGATCTATAATATCGAAGGAAGACACAATTCTTGAATACCAGATAGCGCTATTTCGACTCATCATAGGTCTCATCAGTGGTGGTGCCTCATGATTTCTTACGCAAAAAAAGCATCGTTTTGAATAATGAATATTGGAATATTATGACACCCTGAATGTCGTTAGTTGGCTATTCATCCGTCTGAACAAACTCTACCATTCAAACGAATTATCATATCTTTCGATCGGTTGGGAGGATGAAACTTCAAACAATGCCAACTTTTCTCATGAGACGATGGCTCACTTCCAATATTTCAACTCCGAAGTATGTAATTATCCCTCTCGGATCCGAGATAAACCATCGACTTTCTCCGATTTCATTCGTTCCTAGATCGAATCAGTGGACGGGTAATTTTGTCGGAAGCATTCCTTTCTGTTCACGATTATACATTATAAATAACGAGCGAATGATTAATGATTCATTTTTACATAATGCCCTAATGAGGAAAGTAACCCTAAAATTACCTATTTTCTCCGGCTTCCGCGTGTTTACATTCCGGTTCGCCTTGTTAAAACTTTATGAAGGAAATTGACCTTTTAGGAAAAGCGTTTATCGGGAACGGGCGAGTGAATTACAGTATAGATTAATTTAGTTTGAATTTACCGTTTATTTGTACATGCGCCAATATCAGAAAAGTGTTTGTTGAATGTCAGTCTTTAAGAAAATAGTCGTGTATTCAGAAATTCTAATGGAAAATATTTTTTATCATATTCAATTCATTCTCCATTGTTATGAAAAGTATGTGATTGCCACTAGATATTGTTACAAACTATAGCATTAACACCATTATTGTGTTAAATGGGTTTTTTATGAGTAAAGCGTTTATTTGAATTCTAGAACTTTTGTTCAATTACGCGTTATGATTATCGCACCTATGTCACTTGCCTTGTTTACTATTGCAGCGGAGAAATAAATCATTTTTAAGTTGCTGTTCCATAGGCGTACCTAATTGAGTCGGCAAAAAGTTAAAAATGCTGTATTAAATTGAAACATTCAGTGAAACGCTACCCAAAATACAGTTTGAAATTTTTATTTAATGTATCACATGCCTGCAGAATTTACTTGATTAAATCAGGCATATCTGAGATATTTTTAATTTTCGCAGATAAAAGAAAATGACGTTATGATTCCATACGATCTAATTGTGCTTTATTATATAGGTACTTTATTACCTGAACATGCAGTGTGTAACAACAAAAACTTAACAGAGCTGTTTTTGAATATAAAAAGTAAGATTTTTAAAAAAAGCTTTTTATAGTAAAAAATGGCTCTGTTAAGTTTTCGTTGTTACACACTGTATGAATTAATGATAACCCCGTGGCCTGTTGATAACAACTACAAACTTGCAACTAGAAGAACATCACATTCATTTCATTTTGATAAAGAAATACCAACCTAACAAATAGTCATGAATACACAAGATTGGCGAGCAGCAATGACAGTTGACAGACTCATCAATCATACACACTAGACAAATACTGATTGAAATAACATTCGCAAATGTGTGGCCAGAGACATTTGTAATAATTTGCTTTCTTCTTGCTTCTTTAACATTTCAACAAATTGACATGGGCGGTATTTAAACTCTCTACATCTCGTGTAGTACAGCTTTTTTTAATGAATATGTTTGTTTTTAGTCATTTTGAAAGGCGAGTTTGGACATACGAAATGAAGCTGTGACATTTATAACATTGTGCTTGTTGGTTCGTCTTGCATGTTCATTCGGTCTGTGTTTCAAGTAACGCTCTGTTTGGCCCACATAGTCTTTCGAACGTTAGGCCATATGTATATATTTTTGTTGCAATGCGTCATCATTTTTTTGGCATTTGCTCCTGGCTAGTGCATTGGCCAACTCCATCAGTGCGTATTTGGAAAATGAAAACTGAAAGTGATGGGAGCGCAGATAATTTTTCAATGTTTGAGATTTGCCATACGTCTTCTTTATTCTTTATCCGGAAAAAGTAGTGAATGTGTCCATTTCCTCTTATATCAAAGTCTAACCCTCCTAACCGTTTTGGATGTTTTTCGACCGACGGCGACGACCTCTCGAAAATCCGTCGGAGCGCCGATATCACGGTCGATATATTATGTTGTGGAGTGGCCGGTTGAGATAATCGTTTGATTGATGTGGTTTTCCATCTGCGATTACGGTGCTGCCATTCGTCCTGTCTCGTCGTCGATTTAATATCTCGTTTTTCCGACACGAATGCCTTGACTTTTAATTAATTTCACATTGTCGACTCGGTCATCATCTACCGAATACGACAAAAACTCGGTTGTTATTACGCTGGCTGGTGCAATCGATTTTTATTCCCGCTCTATTGTGTTCGAAAAAATAATTGGAAATGTGTTTTCTTTGCGAATTATTCATTCAATTATCGGCGGATTGATTGCGAATGCCGGACTTCGTTTTGGACCTTGTGTGCGGTGTTCACATAGAGTAGATGACATTAAACGCTTGATTGATTAAAGATATTTTTTCAAACATCCATCAATTTCCAACAATTCATCTATTACTCTCTATGAAATATTCAGATTGTACGACAAACGCCATAACAGTCGTCAATGTGATCGAACGAATGTTAAATTTAAAAAACTACGCATACTACCACTAAAAACTAATGAAAGTGTGAAAATTTGAAGATTCGTATCAGTTTATTCTTTGAAAAGATCTTTGTTCCGGATGTATGAGAACTTGACGATATACATCTTTGCAATATCTCCGCATACCACGTAAGCATACTCGCAAAAAAACTCAAACCTAGAAAAATTAACTCCCTCTGAATCGTCTTGCCTACCATTTGAAGGTCATTCAGAGAATATTGAGATGACGTGGCGGCAGATGCGTCGAACACAACGCAAAGTTTCGTAGATACGCTGTTTTCGCGCATAACTTCATGGTGTGGCAGATGAAAGAAATATTTTACTGTCCCATCTTCGTTAATCTTGTTCATGTGACCTAAACTTTCATACTTCGCCATGAAATCACTATATAAAGATTTGAATCTACTGTTTTCATTAAGCTTTCTTTCTAGAAAAATGAAACGCTTTCTAGCTTGTTCCCGCGATTCGCCTAGATTTTCCAAAGATTTCTTGAATGTAATTTTAACTACAAACCTGCCATTGCTTAATCGATTACAAACGTTACTACGTGTTCGGCTCATTGCAAGATGTTACGGTTCATATGTTTTTTTATAATGTATTCCACAGTAGTAGACGAAACGTCAGGCATAAAAACTTGTAGACCACGGCCAAAAAACCCGGAAAATATCTTTCACAGAATTTTGGAAATGTTGTTTTTTCCGCAACGTAACCTAACTAGGTTACGTATACTGAACTAGGTTACACCGCATGCAACAGATATGCGATACTTATAAACTCGTCCCAACTTGTCTCCATATAACCAATCCTTTGATACGTTGTCTGGAAATCGACAACTGGTAGTTTGAGTTATGCCGTAACGTAACATGTTCGTAGTTATGTTACGAGTCATTTCTTAATAAATGAATTTACAATGTAAACGGTCCTTTGATACGACGACAAAAATCGACATATGGTAGTTCAACTTATGCCGTAACGTAACAGTTTCGTGGTTATGATACGGGTCGTTTGTCAATAAATAGATGTACAATGTAAACGGTACTTTGATAAAACGGCAAGAATACGTTAACTTGAGTCGTAACGTAACATTTTCGTGATTATGGTCATTTGTCAATAAATGTACAATGTGAATATAGCAGTCCTTTGTAGGACGGCAAAAAATCGACAAATGGTAGTTTAACTTGTGCCGTAACGTAACATGTTCGTGGTTACGTTACGGGTCATTTGATAACAAATGGATGTATTTCAACCGTAGAAAGATATAAGTAATCACAATTTTTTCGTTGTTACCGCCTTTGTATTTTTTCAGAACTGAACGACTAATTGAAATTTGTGCAAATGCGCTTCCAACTAACGCTCTTTGATTGCGAGCGTGATTGATTGGACACTGGCGCTCTTAGCGTTAGTGTCTAATGGAATGCAATTATGTTTTTGTAAACTGATTCCCCATAACTGTTATCTGTGTTGCCTTTATCGATCTCAGGTTAGCGACCGTTCAACATCATGCATGAAATCTAACAGATTTTAAAATTGATTAGTTGTGCTGAGCTGAATACATAGCAAAACACTTGTTTTTGAGTGAGTTGGTGTTGTTTGGGGTTGAAACAAAAAACGACAGTATTTGTTAAAATCAATACACTCGAAGTATAAATAAGATATCACTGTACCTTTCGCAAAACTACACGTGACCGTCAATTCTCCAAATCATATGTCACGGAGAATGTATAGTAAAGTGCCACACAAGCATATTAATTCATTACTAATTTCCAAAAGACAACCTGAAAATTTCCTGGTTCATCATAGAATACTAGGAGTCGTTTTACAAGTTCTGGTTGTCTCATGGTTGTTTCTGGGATATTCAACTTTGCAGCTCGTAGGACCTCGTTCAAACTCTACCAGCAATTGGCATACCTTTCTGAAAGCGAACTAGTTTCATTCTCTTATCGATTGGATTGTTCAGAAGTCTTTTTTCCAGTTTTGGTTGTCTCGTCTTTGCAGCTCCTGGGACCTCATTCAACCTCTACCAACCATGTTAGATTGGCAAACTTCTCCAAAAGAGAACTTGTTTTGTTCTTTTATTGATTGGACTGTTGAGTAGTCTTTTTTCCAGCTCTGGTTATCTGGTTGCAGCTCCTACGACCTCTAAACTAACAGCCATGTTCAATTAGCAGATTTCTCCAAAAAGGAAATATCTATTCTTCTACCAATTGAACTCTGTTGATTAGTCTTTTTTTCCAGCTCTGGTTGTCTCGTCTTTGCAGCTAATAATATCTCGTTCTAACTCTACCAACCATGTTCAATAAGCAGATTTATCTAGAAGCGAATTAGTCCTATTCTTCTATTGATTGGACTGTTGAGTAGTCTTTTGGCGGTATGAAGGTATATAGTTGGAGTAATTTGCACTAGATACACTAGATACAGAACTTTGAGCAATTTACACTCTACACTACACACAGAACTTTACTCAATATGTTGATGAAAACCTTCAGGTTCAGCGCATCTATAGTTTTCAATACTTCAGGGGTACATTCGGTATATGGAAATGCTAGTAAAAAGGCGTGATGGACGTTTTGTGGCTATTTTATTGAATTTTTCCGGCATCGCACTTGATCCGATAAAGGCCGTTATTTTTCCTCAAGTCGGCTCTCGGCGTTTCTCCCGAATAAGATTTATTATTTATGAAATGGGTATAGTTCTTGGCGCGTGAGATTTATTGCCGTTTCGGTGAAACGACCTCTTTGCTTCTGACCATTCTTCCAGGAATCGGTCGCAGATTCTAACCCCTAATCGTCACTGCGGTCGTCGAAACTGCCGGTTGGTCTGTCACTCAAATATAATACAAGTTTATGCTCTGTTTCCTAATAGTGAGAAGTTATATGAATGCACAAATGCAAAATGTTCTTTGGGCAATAAAGCATATTATTATTATTATTATTCAAACAAATTTTGGTGATTTGCCACAGCTGGTATACCAGGGGGATAATGTTTTACTAGATTCACCCTGTTTTTGTATAACAAACAGAATATTTTATGAGATTTCGAGTCGTCTTATCACCTGCAGTGGCGTGCGATTGGGTATTTATTCAAAAACACTTGATTCAGAAGTATTATTTATTAATAGAAACTGATTAAGACGCAAGGGCTTCGTCAATAATTTATATTGTTCAAGTAATAAAGTACCTACCTAATTAGAGCACTATTATATCGGATCGGATCGAATCATATTGTCATGTCATGTAGGTATGTGATAGGTACATCAAGTGCTTTTCATAGAAATAATGAATATTTTCATCAAAATTCAACAAGAAAAACATTTTTAGGTGATATATTCTTCACTTTTCAACCGACTCAGTTGTGTACGCTTATGAAACAGCTACTTGAAAATGATTTACTATTCTGTTGCTTAAGGAAATGGACTGTACAACACAATATTTTTATTTCAGCGAAACATTTTCATTATTTCGAGTAATATTTTCTATAATATGACATGAAAATATATTTTATCATACTTTTTCGTTTCAGAGTCAAGTACCTATGGCTGGTCCAAGGGAAATCCCACCCTGCGCTACGCCGGCGGCCGCCGATGTCGACAACATATTTAAGGTGGGTGTGTGAACCTCCTCTCTTCAGTTCATGGGCTAGAAACTCGAGAGATTATTTTACCCATCTGGAAATCTTCACGCTACGTGGCTTCAGAGACTTCATAATGTTGATCACTAATTTTAATTTAACTTTCCCCATTTGGCGGAAATACTAGCGCGCGAGACTTTTTATAACGAATTTTTACTGTATTGCGCGAAGGGTGATGTAAGTCCTCGGAATTTGAGATACCCAGTTATAAACCCATATAAACTTGTATTTTGTTTATGCCTTTGAAGTTGTTTCTAAATCTACATATGGTAGAGGTACGCGACTATACTCTATCCATCTAAGCAACAGAGTGCTCCAAAACATCATGCATGGTGCACGTGATATCCCAGACAAGGCTGCTTGTATAGTCGAAGTAACCGGTATTGTGTCGGTTCTCTAAAAGGCACAAAAAACCAATACAAATAAATAAAGCCGCTGCCAACTAGTCCACGTAGATTGAAGAATTGACAGTTCGTATTGGATGATTTTTACTAACCGAGTTTTATGATGGTGACAAATAGAATGCGAGCCGTCGTGTTGTCAATGTTTAGTTCAGGAACTGATCGATTGAGTGTTGAAATTCAATATTGGTGCAGTTATAATTACTCAAAATTTTTGTTATCTGTTTAAAATGTGGAGTCCTTGAACAAGTACTAATAATAATAACGAGTGTGATAACAACGCAGACTTCTTTCTATGTAGTGATTCCAGTAGCGATGGTGAACAATGCGAAGAAGAGATACCAGTGAATAATAATATGGAAACACAACGAGTATGTTTCAATGTATATAAGAATCTACATCTCAAGTTTGGTTTCGAGGAAAACAAACTATTACAAGCAACATCAGATTTGACGGAAATTCCTTTCTCAATTGTACGTAAAATAGTCAAAAATTAATCTTATGAACAGATGCGATGTGATACAGGATGACCACAACCTTTAGATGTTCATCTAACAAAATCATTGAAAAAAACAATATACGACTGTTACAAAAGCAATGAGATTTCTACAACTAAAATGATAAGGAAAAAATTGAATACTTCCGGCCATAACGTGAGCTGCTGTGACGAAACTCTTCAGAATTGGAAGAAGAAACTAAGATTTATATTTAAAATAATAAACAAACGTCAAGCAGTTATGAAAAGCAGAAGAATAGTGGAATTGCGTAACAACAAATACTTAGAACAAATAACTAAATATAGACAAGAACAACGGCAAATTTTCTATTTGGACGAAACTTGGTTTGACACTCACGACACAGTTAGGAAAGGGTGGACTGACGATTCGAGAATGTGTACGCCTAACATGCCTTCAAACAAAGGATCGCGACTATTCATTGTGCATTGCGGAGAAAGTAAAGAATGTGTTCCGAATTCATTGAAATTATGTGGAAAAAAACCTGAGGACTGCAATGTTGACTATCATAAGACCACGGAAGCCAATATTTTCGAGGAATGTTTTAAAAACACGTCGATCCCAAATTTGGATACGAATAGTGTAATAGTTCTTGACAACGCTTCCTAATTCGCGGCAGCTCATCAAAGTACCGAATGAAAATTCGAGGAAAGATGAAATACAAAGTTTTTTAATGGATATCAATTTGTATTTTAAAGATTACTATACCAAAAACCAACTACTTGAAACTTTACAGACAAAAACATTTTGTTATATAGTTATTGTGATTCTTGTATAATAAGAAATTATCATTGAATAACGAAATTAGTTAGCTCCCTACCTATATTATTAAAGGGGAGCTTTTGGAAGATACGTTGCACTAGATCGGTCACTTGAATTATACAGAGTCGCACTAAGGAATGACCGAAATTTTATTTTATTTTTTTAATGATATGCGGCTGGGTATAGGAAATTTATTTAGGTGGAGTATAGGGACACAAATCAGCAGTTTCTTCAGTCATATGAGTACAACCATTTACACACCACAGTCGTTAAAACGTAACTGACCACTCCGACACTATAACAATAAATTCTTTCAGCCGATTGCAGTTAAATATGATTGGCCAGCGTCATGAGGTTTGTTAATTTTACCCAATAGATGCAAATGTGTTTTGATCACGCTTCTATCTTTGTTTGGGTTGCTTTGTTTGTTGGATGCATATAATTTATTGAAATATAAGGTCAAAGGACAGAAAAATCGGTTTTTTGCACATTTTCTGCAAATATCTCATTGCCTATGGGGTTTTCGCTATTTGTATTTAGTATCAATATTGTAGTGGATTGATTTCCCTACAATCATATAAGGTCAACCAGTAATCCTGGTCAAAAACGCGCCATATAAAGTTTATTATTATTGCCAACTGAACTTGAAAGGTCCGCTTGAATTTTATCTTAAAATCAAAACTAACTTCGTTTTGTCACTTTTTTGGAACTTTAAATTCGAACAAAGTGACACATTTCAACAACTCGTATATCACTTTTCACTTGCCGAGTATATTTGAGGTTTATCTGCTCAACATGCTTACAATTCTATTCCAGTCATTTTCCAAGTGTCTTGCGTGTATTTTCTTTGAAAATACTCTCAAACATTGTGGTCTTCCTTGGGGCTTCACGTTGTGGTCCGTGATAGAGTTGTATTTAGTCCGATTCAGATCAAGATTTTCAGAACTGCTATCTCTGAGACAGGCATAAATGAGTCATGGACACTCTGAAACTGTGTCCGATGTAACTGAACAAACATAGTAACAATAGAGATGTCTCATTTCTTTCTAGAGATCAGCGATAAGCAGCCGGAAATGAATACCAAAAATTCCGTATGCAATCACTTGTTGCCAGTTCATGAATAGTCTCATATTACTGTCATTCTGAATTTACGGCCGAGTTCCATTATGAACTAATTGAATGTGCACCAACAACATAGTTTATAAAATAACAACGAAACAGTATTTTGCGTTTAAAATATCTGGAAACCACAATAGTTGGGCAGTAGGCTGATATTTGCTTTACATATCCATTAAATCATAAAACTACAAACAATGACAATCCAATGAAAATTTATTCACATATAATTAACGAGGAGTTTTGCAATAAAAGTGGGTGTTGAATACTCAAAATACGGTGATGTGAAGTACAACAATCTCATCTCACAAATCAACATTACGATCTATATTCACGAAATAGGTACGTTTTTTTGATTGAAAGATCCACCTGCGAAAAAGTGTGATATCGTTTAGATATTTTTGGGAAAGAATAAAGGTTTTGGTTTTCTACTTCTCCATCTTTGTACGAATGTTTGGAATTCAAACTGAAGAAAAGTGTTTTTTGCCTAATTCAGTGTTCATGAAAAATAATTTGATTCGAAAGTTTTTTTTCATTTAGTTCAATGTTTATATTCTTACGTTTTTCCCCGTGGGCTCACCAATAATTGACTACATTTCACAATAATAAAACTCAAATGGTAATATAAACAAACACTATTACTAAAACTTTAACTATTATTAAAATATCTGTCGCCTTATTAGATCGCTCTGTACCGCACTGTCCACTAAACTTGACTTCCACAATCTTGCTATGGGTCGTGCTTATATACGGCAAACGAACTATCCTGAAACCGGTAGAGAATTCCTCAGAATTCCATCGAAGCCGGTGAAACGGTCGCGAACGTTCGTCGAGTTTGGCGCGGTCTTGGTCACGTCACAATTGATTTATGACGACCAGCGGCAGCCGGTTTTATTTAATTTTTAGGGGATGAATTACAACAATATGAAAGTACCTGTTTAAAGAGACCTTTTTTTTCCAGTTTAGTTACTTCTTTGCATGATCTACATATATAAAGTTAATTTATTTAAATTGATTGCTTTCTTTCTTTCTTTGGAAGGTTCCCACATTTTTTGTATAAAGATGGAGAAATAGAATGTCAAAACCTTCGTTTCCCAAAATTTAATCTCTCCTAAAAATATACCCCAGTCAATTAAAATGGTTAGACATATTTTTCGAGAAGGTCACACTCGAACTCCTGACAAAATCAATAATCAACTCAAAAATCCAGTTGTTTTTCAATAAAATGATGCACTACACTACCAAAATTACTACGAAGGTGGCATCCGGGTCCAGGAAATCATCCAGATGTGAAGAATGTCGAGTGTCTTGATATAAATCCATATGTGTACGATTTCCTGGATCCGTAGCTATAGCTACCTGCGTGTCATCCTGGCTTCTGCTGATGGCATTTGTACTTATTTCGGCAACCAAGTGTTGTCCATTCTTGCACTTGGCTGATCCATACTGATGATGGGCTAAAAGTCTGAAATACGTGCCTATGGTGTGTCTTTTTTTCTGAGTGCTATGTCCTATAAAATTATCTCTTGAAGATATAGGTATCAAAAGTACTAAACTCATGTTTCAACAAAAAATCATTTAAGCGAAAAATATTCTTATCTTTTGCATTTGAATCAAGGAAATTATGGATTATCAAGTCAAAATTATACAAATAACCTTTCACTTCTCTGATATATATTATCTACATGCAAATAAAAATTATCTACATCAATTAACATATGAAATTCATCAACATAATAAAAATTCAAATGAAGTGTTCAATGTTATTCAGTCGATTTCACACATCTGTCAAATTTTTTGGGTGTTTCATGATTGAATTCTGACATCGTGTTCCGTAGTACTGTTTTTGAGTTGTTTCAACTAAGTGGCACCACTGCGAATAAATTTGACCTTGACAAATTCATAAACTTGAATTTTCGCAGAACCACACAGCTGAAAGAACTTGTTTTTGTTTTACCGTTTGACTTGATTCTAATATTTTCGATAGACGTCGTATCTGGACAGTGTAATTCCCCATATAAACGAAAAAAATGACTTGATAAAAATTAATTAGGTACACAACGATTTTATCACGCATGAAGATTAGATAAATGTGTTAATTTGTAGTCGATACGTGATTGATTAGCACACGAACCAAACTTGAAATAATTTCCTCGTCTAGAATAATGTTTATACTACC